CTTATATAACCCTTGAAGCCACCATCTAGTTTCTGTACGTCTCTGGGCCTTTGACTGCTCTAGGGACTTCACACCATGCTGTATTCAAAGAGAATTTACACTAGAAAGACAAAACCATCTGCAATCACTCTAAAAACAAGACACATGTTAACCTGTTAAACACCTGTTCTGGCATTTTAATGGAGAGATGTATGAATTTGCCTGTTAATGGGCTGAGATGACGAATGGGTTCCTCGGTCCATTTCCAGTTTGTGAGCTTTCCAGCTTGCAGTGGGTGACAGACGCTGCCCACTGTACAAGGCAGGGCCATTTGGCCACACGCCCCATCCAACGCCATCCTTTTGCTGTTTCAGCTTGTGCATGTACAGAACGGCCTTTCTCACCACAGGTTAGCAGAGTGGGACTTTTCCTCCTCTCACCTCACTTCCTTCTGCCCAAGATGCCTTTCTCCTCAACAGCGTGCCTCATACTCAGGTTCTGAACCGAGGGGTAGGAATGAACAGCAAGAGCCAGGGGAACTGACTCATTTCGGATCTAGCCACTGTCATTCTCACCTGGACCACTTTGATCTTATCAGCACACATTGCACACACCTTTCAAAACACCCCTGAAAGTAAGAACAGTGTCCTGGCGTTGCTTTGAGCTACTACAGGCTCTCAGCATTTTTGGGGGAGTCAGTCTTTTCTGACATTATTTTTGTCTCTGTGAAGCATACAGTCTTTGCTATAACTACTCCTTGCCCACTTCCCCAAATAGCTACAGGCATTATGCAAAAGAAAAGATGAAGGTGTACGCCAATAAAACATTATTTACAAGGGCTGGTGGCTCACTGGGTTTGGACTTCGGACTTGCACTGGCCAACCTCTTTTGTGAATAATAGAGGGCATTAGTGTGCTTCAAAAAAAAAATCAATGCTCTGTGAGACCCCAGTCTAGCTGTGACCATTAGACTGTCTTCAGCTAAGGTGACCTTGCAGGAAAAGCCGTGCAAGGCCCAAGTGCAAAATAAACCAGGGCAGCAAGTTGCTCGCTAGCTTCTTTTATTTTAGGGGTGGGGGAGGCTCAAATTCACAGTGTAGCTAAGGTGACCCTGAATTCATGATCCTCCTGCCCCAGCCTCCTGACTGTCGGTATAACAGGCATGTATCACCATGTCCACTTATGTGGCTCTGGGCAAGTATTCTCCCAGTTGCGCTACATCCCCAGCTCAGTCACAGCTTGAGGCTCCAGGGAATCCAGGAACTCAGTCACAGGAGCTCAATCCTCTCTAAGGTGAGGGCTGGGGCTGCCTCCATGGAGTGACTTAGACCACAGGAGGCAGTCAATGTTTGTGGGGGGATGGAGCGATCCTTCATGGACTCTACTCACAGGAGCTTAAATAGTAAATATGAAGTGCTTACAGTTTTTCTTTTCTGCTGAAAGAGAAAAATGGCAGTGTCTATCCTGCTGGACCGCATGATAAACATTCATGCTGCTCTACACCCATTTTAATCAAGTTCTCAGCTGAGTGACAGGTAAAAGACCAAGCCCAGAAAACACACCGTTTCAAAGCCACTAACTAAAAACCAAGTATTTCTCAGCCAGTAATCAGTTCTCTACAGAAGAGCTCAGCGACCTGCCACCGATGAGGGTCTCTACATCTGTGGCCATCATTCAGACATAAAACTCCACAACCCTACCAGGGCAGCAGCTCACATTCAAGGGTTGCAGTGCTGAGGGAGAAACGAACCTCATGTTTCAGAACTCTGCAGAATGGGGATGGTGGGCAGTGAACTCTCTCTCATCAGTGCAAGCTAGCCTCTGTGAGGGGACAGAGGGATGTTGAGCCTGGACTGACAAAGTCATGAACCCCAAACTACAGAGAGATCCGACAGAAGTCCATCTTAGGCATCAAAGGCCCCAGACAACCAGGCTCGCTGCTATAGAGTTTTGTAGAATGATCCCTAGAAGGAGAACAAAGATCCCAAATCCTACTGCCACTGTCGAGCTCAGAAGAAGGCATGGCTACACCATCAGCTGGAATGTGGCAGGGGTTACAGATCTCACCACCACAGATGTGAGCAACTGAAGCTCTGACTTGGGTGTAGGAGATGGGATTAAAACCCATTTGCAAGTCAGGTCTTGAGAAATAACTTGTATTTCAAATTGTATACCATTGTAACTGAGTATATAGGTGGGCATCTTATAGTTATTTGAGCTCAAGTATGTATAAGCAGTGAAAGTATTCTAAAAGTCTAACAAATTCAATAGGAACAGTAAAAGCCCTTATTTCATAAGCTTGGCACTGATGATGATGTAGTGGCCACACAGACGGGGTCACTGTATCTGGATCCTCGAACCTCTTTAAAAGTAGACATGTTTGCCTTGGATATCTAACTAGGGAGCGGGGCTTCCATGATCAGGTCCCTGCAATAGAAACGAGGAGAGTAGACGTCTAGACAAGAAAGAGCAGGCTGTGCTGAGTCAAATGAGCAGTGGAGAGAAACACTGAGAACAGAATCCGCTGGGGAACAATCTTTGTACACTGTAAATATGCATTGCTCTCATTGGTTAATAAAGAGCCAACTGTCCTATAGCTGGGCAGGAAGAGATGCAGGGGGAGAGCCAGAATAGGAGGACGCTGGGAAGAAGGGTGGAGTCTAAGAGTCACAAGCCAGATGCGGAAGAAGCAACATGGGAAGTTCTTAGATGAAGTAAATGAGCCTTGGGGTAGCACAAAGATGAACAGAAAAGGGTTAATTTAAGTTGTAAGAGCGGGCTGGAGTCAAGCTTAAACTATCAGCTGAGCATTTAATAATGTCTCTGTGTGGTTATTTGGGGAGCAGCTAGCGGGACAGAAAAGTCAGCCTATAGAACCCACGCCTAGGGACCAGCTGGTGAGCATCCTCTGCACAGAAGGCCTAAAGGAGGCCAGCACCAGGCTCTGAAGGGAGCATGCATGCGGATGTCCTCAACAGGACAGGGCACAGGTGTAATGGATCCCCAGCATGCTGGAGACGGAGATGAGAGCAGACAGGCAAGGTAGCTTGGACTGCAGCTGTACAGAGGCAGAAGGGATGGTCTGGAGTGGGAAGAGAGACAGTGGCCAAGTGTGAAGGAGGAAATGAAGGGAGAAGAGGAAAGGAGATGTGAGAGAAGAGACTCCACCCTGCCAGATGTGGGCATGCCCAGTGAGTTGCCACAGGCTCCTCTGTGATTAACTTATTATTGCTATGCAAACAGATGCTCCATAGCCAAACTGGTAGTGAGCTCATCTAAGGTCTCGCTCTCAGATCCCCCGTGTGCTCCTCTGCCTAGCAAACCTTCTAGACAAGGAGAAGCCAGATTTCCAAAGAGTCCATGTGAATGAGGTGTTGGGAAGACTCCAGCAGATCCATGCACGGGTGTGCACACAGCTTTGGGTTTAGGGAATAGTAACACATGACCGAACAATGACAGATTACAATGAGATTGTGCTATGGCAAATTCCAACCTTCTGCAGCAATGTAATCTCCACCCCCTGCCAGCTCCAGCAGTGACCGCAGTGAAGGTCTTTGAGCACATGCAAAATGCATGCTTTTTCCACTTAAGAGTCCTTGGCTGAACTTTTACTATGTTTTTTTCCTTCTCTGTATCCCTGGGATATGAAGGCCCTACTCAAGGAGTCTATAAAGTCACCCACGCACAGAGGTAACGCATCTTTAAACCATAGCAAACTGAAAGAGTGTTGTGGAACATTCTTTCAGACTTCGGTACATCCATCACACAAGGAAAGGCCATGCGTTAGCTGCGGCTAGTATGGCTACTATGGGCCATGGCTTCTAACCCTGGCATAGCCTTCTTTCTCCATTTTTTAGGAAGTCTTTCATGGCAGGAAAAGGGGTTTTCTGTAAACTCTCCTTGACTGCCTTCTTAAATTTGTAATATGAAACCCGGGCAGGAGAACCCCACGAAGATCCTACACCATACAAGACAAGCTGGGTGGAAGAGATCTGAGCTCTGTGGTGGGCAGACCCTGTCCTGTTCTGCACTGAAAGGGGCAGATCCACAAATGTGAGACCTTTGGTATCACCAGTATTTTAATTAATCACCTGGCTGTTAGGTCAAATCTCCAATTACGCAGTAGTTAAAATTAATTAGCAATTCTAGCCAGACTTTCTCAGTTTCGTATGTGGCTCAGTAGGACAAGCTAGTGCTGGTGTAAGGTTCTCACAGAGAGGGTTCTGATCTACATGGAGAATCAATCCGAAAAGAAAATGTTCAGACTCTTCCAATCACAGTTGCAGTGGTGGTGCTCCCCCCCCCCCCCCCCGGTGAATTTGAATCTCACAACCTTTTATGTCATTACTAGCTTGTCATCCATAACTCCTGTCACCCACAGCTCTCCAGCCAGAGTGTGAAGCCCAGGTTTGCAGACTCTCACCCTGAGGTCTACTCGGGATCTAAAGCATTCCATTGTCTTGGTTTTTCTTGCATTTCTGGGAAAGCCATCTTTGACCAAGACATTCAGTTTATAAATGGATTTGCATTTGGGGGGATGTATGTATCTGGGGTGGTGGTGTCACACAGCATCTGCCACCCTGGCTCTGATGTAGTCCTCGTTGCTCTCCTGGCTCAGCTTGCTGCTGGCATCTCACATGCCAATGCTGTGAGGCACCGTCTGCCCTGGTCCTCCCACAATCCAGTCAGGCAGTTCCCATCACGGCAAGTACTTCCTCTGTCAGAGAACACAGACTAACTGAAGCCGCAGCCGGAAGCAGGCTGACCACAAGTGCTAAAGCTCTGCTTACTTCTTTTCTAGGTAAAGTTGGAAAAGTCCCTGTAAAGGCAAACACTGAAGTTTTAGACACGGGGGTGGCACTGACCAGCCACTTCAACATGTCCTTGACTGGAAAGAGGGAGAGTGTGCTGTATGGGGTGAGGAGCAGAGCCAGGGGGAGGAAGAACAGAGGCAGAGTGCAGGAGGATGGACTGCCTGCTGCAAGCGCTAATTGTTCTGAGAAGCAGGTGTTTTCTTCCCAGGTTCAAGCGAAGTTGCTGTTCTGAGAAAGACTCCAGAGAATCCATCACCTCCTCAGAGGGAGCCTGCTCAGGTAGAGAATTCTGTTTACTGCCGAGACAAGGGAAGGGTACTTGCCAAACCCTTTGTTAGAAAGATTAGAACATGATGATGGGGGAGGGGGGAAGGGTAAGCCCATGGGTCCTGGAAGAGGGGACAAGTTCTAGAAAACAGAACTGCTGCTTTACTCCTAAGTAACCACTGTGCTGGGAAGACTCTCGGTGCGGAGACTGTCTCCTAGCCCTGATGGTAGCTGCATCTCTATGTACAAGATGCATGACATGACTCAAAGAGGGGAAGGGGGATGCCAGGAAACAGGCTTGAGTTCAGTCTTCACCCCCTCAGAATGCCTAGAGAGGAGGGAGACTGAGGTCATGCTTAAGTCTGCCAAAGCAGACATGTAGGGTGCTCAGCAGACTTGGAATCAGTAGCCCCTTTGGTGAGTAAGGCTGGATCATCTACACTGAAGAAAACAATAACTATTCTTTAGACTCCATTTGCTCTTTATGCTCGGTGCCTTTGAAATGTATATATTAAAAAACCCCTAAAAAGTATATTCCAACCTGGTGCTAGAAAAATCAGTGGACGCTACAGGCTCAGCAGGGAGAGGCAGAAGAGGCCCGGAGGGTTGTAGGGCAGCGAAGCTATTTTGTTTGGGTCCATAGCTATAAACCACACGTTTGTCTAAACACACTGGATGTGTGACACCAAGAGCGATCGTAATGCAAACTAGGATGCTCACAACCGTGCCATAGCATCTGGATGACAGCTGCAATACATGTGCTTCAGGAACACACCTTTTCGACTGGGCTAACTACAGGGAAGGAAGGGAGGGAAGGACGGGAAGAGAGGGAGGAGGTGAGAAGTGATACATGAGAAAATGTGCTTCCTGCTCCATTTCTCTGGAAATCCAAAATTGCTCAAAAAATAAAGTTTGTTAACTGAAAGAAAATTGATCTTCTACCTGAAATTTCATTGCTACCCCAAATAAGCTACCAATAAGAATCCAGTTAGCCTAAACCACATCAGCATAGTTTCTGTACAATTCTTCCACAGATTAGTGACTGTCTTGGTCTGGGTCAGAAGCCAGGTAGAGTTATGGGTGACTTTCTCTGTGCGCATAGGATGGACTGAGTTAGCTCATAGAGCTCATGGCTCTCTCTCTCTCTCTCCTTCTTCTTCCTTTCTTAAAAAAGAAATCACCAGCTATTGTACTTAGTGACTGTCAGGATCAAATGGCTGTGAATGTGATGGCATTGTGCAAATGCATTACAAATCAATATTATTTGTGTAAGCTGACAAAGCTCACTTAGAGGTAAGGCTGTAACCTAGATATCAACTTGACTCCTACCTAAATTACTTTCTTCTTTTGGGGTAAGGTTCCAGAGACCCTGTTTTCTCTTTTCTCAGGAGGGTTGTCCAAGCTGCTCACAAGTTCAAGTGTCAGTCTGGCTGGTTCTGAGCTCAGAATGACAGTACCAAAACCGGCACATTATATAATCTTCAGCAGGGCTGTGGTGACCTATTACCCTTCCTAGACTCAGTTAAGAGTTGTTCTTGGATGATAGAGCACAACAGAGACCAGCTCGTGCCAGCAGAGAGGACCGCACCCATTTCTGACGAAATTCCTCCCAACAGCCAGCTGCACAATCGACCTTTCAAGTCACTCTGGGGCCACAGGTGAGGGGTTCCCTGGGTACCCATGGGACTGTATGAAGGGAGAGTTCACCACAGAGAGTGACCCTTCTGGGTCCTGGGTACCTGGGGTTGCCACGTTGAGCAAACCAGAGGTCAGAGAGGAGAGGGAGGGGGATAGCTGCCCGTGCCAGGCAAGGCAGGGCAGGTCCTTTTGAGACTCAATAAGAAACAATCTGGCAAAAATCACCCTTTTCCTGAATACAGCATCCAAGCTGGCTTCTGACAAGCTACTCAGGCAGCTTCCCTTGCATTTTCCACTTGCTGAGAACTGGCCAGAACATTCTTCTAGTTGTATATAGAGATCTTGGCAATCTTCACTGGTTTTCTGATTCTTTCAAGAGTCGATGAGTTTTCAGTGTTGACACAGTTAAGGGAATCCAGTGTTTTTTTTGTGTGTTTTATGCTTACTTTCATAACTTCCTTCCTAAAATCATTTGCACCATTGAACAGACACAAAGATACATAGCTGGGCGTGGTGGTGCAGCCTTCAAACTTGGCACATGGGAGGCAGAGGCACGCAGGGTCTCTGTGAGTTCAAGGAGAGCCTGCGCTACATAATGAGTTCTGGGACTGCTAGGGCTACATAGTGAGACCCTGTCTCAATATAGGTGTGCGCGCGCACACACACCAGCTAATAGTTGCTTCATATACCATGGTGTTCCTTCTGAGCTCTTTCAGTGGGTTTACAGAACAGAAAACTCAAGACTTAAGCTTTGTTCAGTGATGACTTTGTACATAAATACTCCGGGGGCAGGCTAGAAACGTGCTACCATTACTGCCCACAGGGTTCGAAGGAACTGAAGAGCTGGCCTGCATCTACTGACCCAAAAGTGGTTTGCAAGGACGGTGCCACATCTGAAGAATGCATGCCAGAGCTCACCTATCAGATGCCTATTCCCAGTCTCCAGAGAGTCACAAGCTTGGTCATACAGGTCATCTCTGATACCACTTTGAACGTTGTTATGGTGTTTCAGAGTTAACAAGGCTACAAGACACTCCCACTCCTACCTGGGCCACTGTCATTTTTTCTTCTTCATGGAACAGACACTAAAGGGAAGGTCTGTGAAGGTGACAACTCAAAGTCCTGACCGCCTATATGACCTCTGCATACTAAGGTTTTTCCACCTTTCCCATGTTCTCTGCAGGCATTCTAGCAAGCTTCACTCAAAAAGATGGTCTCAAAGATTTTCAAGGTATGCACGAGATAAACAAAGTCCATTTACAGGATTTTTCAGGTTGAGGTTTATACCTCTTTATAGTCCTTTTTTTAAAAAAAAAAATGGCTCCACATCCATGGTAGCAATCTGATACAATAGCCTGGTCTAGCAGACCAAGTCAGTACTTAGAATCACCAGGAGTGAATGCAAGACTTCAAGGAAGGGATGAGTAGCAGCCCAGTGCACTGTTGGGTGGAGGAAAAAACAGGAGGGTGGCTGCGTGTATTTCTGTGAGTTACTGGGGGATTGTGTATGTGTCAATCCTTAATGTAGGCACATAAGCATGTGCCCTTCACGGCTCTATCAAACCTTTGCTGGCACAGCCCTCACATGCTGCGGCCTGGAAGACCAGAGTCTCAGTCAGGTGCCCTGCCCCCCCCCGCAGCCATATTCTCCTTCAGTGTTTCATATCCTTTAGGGCAGACATTGGTTCCTGCTCCGCTGGTGGTCAGAGACCACGTAGCATAAGGACTATATCCAGAGCACGCTGGAGCTGCACACAGAGCTGCAGGCCGGATGCCACGTGCTTCCCAACACACGGAAAGGTGTCCATGGAGCACAGGAAGGAGGCGGTGGCCCCACCTCCTCTACGCCAGAGGACAGACGTGTTATGAAGTTAGGTGGGGAAACTTCAGCTCAGCAAGTGCTTTGTGCAGCTGCCACCAACAGGAACCCAAGCTCAAGCGCAGAGGGTGGGGTGAGAGCCTGGCTGGCTGGGAGGCACTGAATGGTGCTGACACACAGTTTCCAGCCACGGAGAAGTCAGTGCCAAATCCCTCTCCACTTCTCTTTCACCCTGATATTCTTGAACTTGGCCATGGTGTCAGCTAACTCCAGGAGGCATTCTGGGAATCCTATTTAGAGGACAGCACAAACTGTCTCCTCACTTACGGCATCTAAGGGCTTTCCACCAATGCTTATGGACTCCCGGGCTAGGCACAAAGCTGTTGCTATGGCACTGGGGATACCGGATCATTGATATTGGTGCCCCAGGAATTTATCACGACACTCCCTTCCTCCAAGCGTCCTCCCTTGGTTTCCAGAATCAAAGTCCAAACCCGTTACTGTACGCCCGCTCGAATGGAGCAATAGGGTGTCAACGTCACGTTAGCAATGCCAGGACAAAGCAGAGCTGGTGAGAACTCAGGCAAACAAGTGAGGGTGGAGCTGGCTGCACGTCGTCAGCCTCTGGCCCCTCAGCTGTGTACTCTACATGGCTAGCAGGGGCTCCAATATTAAGGCACTTTAACTCTAAGTTCCCTAAGGGAGTCTTTTCTGGATGGCTCTGACGTTTTATATGTGCTTATCCTGGGAAGCCCTTTCTCCAGACATCCAGAGCCTTGATCTTATCTAGCTATGACACACAGAGTCTTCATGCCAGCCCTTGGACTACCCTTGGCAGAAAGCTACTGTCCGTGCACTGAAGAGTACCCGCCTGCAGATAATGAGTACCGTGCTCTCTCGGGTCAAGCAAAGTGCGAGACTTGGGTCAGTTCTGCTTTACAACAGAAGGGAGTGACACACAGGCAGAGGCGTGCACATGCAGAGAGAGGCGTGCACACTTCCCATGCTGATCTTTTAACCTTGCTAGCAGTTGCTTTCTGACTGTTTACTTCCTGTGTCTTCTTATCAACTACAGACAAACAAGCTGGGGCCAGCTCTCCTGCTTTCCAGTGACTTCACACGCTTTGCTAATACAATTTATTTGCTTGTAGACCTTTTTGGGGGTGGAGGGGGAGGAGAAAGAAAGAAAGAAAGAAAGAGAGAGAGAGAGAGAGAGAGAGAGAGAGAGAGAGATTCTCACCTTGCTTTTTGGATGCAGATTGCATTAGGATTTTTAAGGGAAGCATTTCCCAAGAATGCAAAGCTCCCGGCCCCTCCCCTGCTGGGCACAAGGCTCCTTTACCTGAGCGGGGATTACTGGAGAAGAGTCCACAGCTGTGAGAAAGAGTCAGCTTGAGGCTTAAGGGATGTCAGATCAGACATTCTCCTGTTTAATTGTCACTGAGTGAAGCTCCTGGGCTTGAGTCACCCGGGTGTGGAAGCTGGTCTGCCTGGTGGTTCTGATGATTCCTCTAGCCTCCTGTCCTTAGACTCCCCCCTCTCTCTCCCACCAGATCTGACCACCAGGGACTATTCTTCTGTGTCAGGTGTAAGTGAGGGTAGAGGTGTTTAGCATATATTCCAAATGAATATATACTCTCAGAGAGCTGTATACTCTCTGCCCCACCTCTTGTCATCTCTACACTAGCCCTTGAGGTGGTCACCTGGGAGCCATGCTGGCTGTCCACAGCTTTGAGAATTAAACCCCATCTAACCACAAAGTTCTAGGCCTGCTGATTTATACATTAGCCAGCCAGCATTACCTAGGAGATCCTCTTTCAGACTCTCCTCCCTATCTCCCACAGGGCTTTTTCTGCCTGTTTTAAAAATGATTAATTCCATACGTTAGGGAGATGAGATAGCCAGATGACAAAGGTGGCAGGCTCCTGACCCAGAGGGCTGTGTGCAGGTGTACCCACACTCCTACCTGCAACTGTACCTGGATGTGTGGGTTGGGGCCACCTGAGGCTCAATTGTGGCTCAGCATCTCTGGTCCAGTTGCCTGAGCCTGCAGAGGCTGATTTTGCTGTATGAGCCTTAGGTTCCCACCTGTGAACTGTTTACATCAAGACGCTGCATATAGAGTGTGTGTCTTATACCTGCTGAATAATGACAACCTAGGACAGGCAGTGGTTATCCAGTCAGCCCTGCTTCTGCCATGACTGAGCATCCTTCTGGCAGCAGCCTCAGGATACCCCAGCCATTTAAGTCACCTGGGGACACACATTCAGTTCGGCCACTTCTGGACCCTGGATGACTATGCTATCTATCACGAAGGAGAGAAGCACTCAGAACAGCCCAGGGTCCTCTATTCAGTCACCCCACTTTTATTCAATTTACTCAGAAATACTTCTGGAAAAACACACACACACACACACACACACACACACACACACACACACCCTAAGACTATGAGGTGGAATTTCAAGAGACATAAGTGAAAATCTATGTTTAGTTAGCAAAACAAATCCAATTATTTTTAAAAAGCATTTACCCTTTAAATGCTTCTTGTGCTTCTAACATTCAAGAACAATTCAGGCTTCTATCTTGAGTACAGTAGGAAAGTGGGCTACTGCGTCTTTCTGGGAATCACATGTTTTATCTCTTACCTGTAATGTCCCCATTTATGTGGTACTTAAATCCTCCTGGGCAAAGATTTCAGAGTGGATTCCTACCCAATAGCACCGCCTTCCAACTTATTGTCTATAGAG